TGTTTTTAATATTGTTTCAGATATGTTGCAGCAAATTATTTTTTTCAAAGGAAAACAATTATTGAAGACAATGTAGTACAATGAAGTGCAGGTGCCATAATATACCTCCTATTTTTAAGTAGCAGGTTCAAAAGCATGAAGAGGGACTTCTAGTTAAATCTAGTTAAACACTGATAAGCTCAGTTGTCCTTTCTACATATAGATCTGTCCTTGTTGCCCAAATAAAGGCTTCCTGCTAAAGCTCTTAAATCATGTTATATCATGATTTAGCAAAAACTTGTGGTAGACTTGAGGTTTTATTTTCCCTTCCAAAAATGCTGCTAAAGTGTTACGTGTAAGCTGACAAGAGTTCATCTCCCCAGAACCAGGAAGGTAGTCTGATCATGTGAGATGTAGGAAACCATGTTCATCCTAACTTCCAACCTTGCGTTTCATTTGCTGTTAGATGGGGTGTTGTTGAAGAAAGCAGAGGTATCAAGACCTCTGAGTGATGGCCCTTGTGTGACTCGCCATGGGGGACATCCATCTAGCAGTTGTTAGGGATTAGGTATGGACAGAGTAATCTTGATTTGGTCATACTGCCTCCCTTAGATGCATTTAACAAGTGCTGGATGCAGTGCAGCTGGATCCCAAGATTTGGTGCATGACAGTGTGCTATCTCTTTGCAGCTATTGGGGAACTATTTCCTCTACAAGAGGATGGTTTATGGTTTCTGCTGTAATACGCAAAAGGAAGTCTGGATTTAGACAAATACCAGAATGCACCATACTGAGTTTATGTATTTTGGTTCAGAAAGTTCTGCAAACAGTTTTCAGAAATGAGTGTTGGAAATAACAAGAGCCAGGTGCGTTAGGAATAGAACAACAACCTTGAGTCTTATTTTCCTGAAGGCTGTTATACGGTAGCTACTGGAGTATTTGTGAACACAGCAGAAATCACGGTGTTTATTTGTGTAAACTGAACAAAGATTTCAACAATGTAATCAGGATTTCAGCCTCACAGACTGATAAATCTATTTTCATGGTGTCAACTCTGTCAATATTATGGCACATGGAAAATACAACGGGAAGTCTGCAAGAAATTGCAATGCAGATACCGTCTGGCTAGAGGTTGTTTGGTTTTTGTTTGGTTTTGTGGCTTTTTGTTTTGTTTTTTAAATGAAATACAGTTCTATTTGCAGTGCTGAAATACAACTTCTACTAGGGCTGCCCATTCATTTCTACAAGGGGCATAGTTATCCACTGGCAAATCCCTCTCAGTAAGGGATGTGCTTAGCAACCTCTGTACTGCTGCTTTCCTTTAAACAAAAGTATTCTGATTGTGTATATGCTGTTTTACTTTTCAGTTAAAGTATGAGTTTCAGTGAAAACAGGCAAGTTAGCAATAAATGTGGAAAGCTGGACTGGGAATGATGTAATTTTCTGGCAGAGATGTTTCTAAAACCCTTCTGCTGGTAGCACTGAGAAAAACATTGACACCTGCACACTGCGGGCAGTTCAAAATCCAGCATATGCCCATTCAGCTGCACTTCACCTTGTTTTAATTCTGTGGGTTTGAAGGAGGCAAACCAAGAAACTGATGATGTATCTCAGTTACATTCTGTCTAATCCTCGAGTGGTTAGCTTGGCGCAGGGTGCCCGCCAGGATGTTGAGGTTGGTTCGTGGTAATTAGATCTGTGTGGGGTGAGGAAGGAAGAGCAATGTGGTCTTCATTCTTGACTTCTGCTCTTGGCGTGTTTTGCCCTTTTGCTTCTGTAAAAGCAAAGATGTAGGTTAATGGGAGCCACTCCTTGGACTTAGTGAGTCTGAGGTCAGTCTCTGTTACGGAAACAGACTTCACACACTTAAACCAAACACGAGCATGTTGTTCTGTTCACTCCGAAGTAAAAGCAGAAACAATCCTGCTACTTCAGAGCCTGCCACAGGAAGGAGTGACAGAGCAGGTCAGCTGGGGGAAAGCCTTCTCCAGGATTAGACATGAACCTGAGCTTGCCCTTCAGTTCAAACGCACCCATCTGCCCACTCTAGGCAAGAATTCAGCCACTGGATCTTAATTTCTGGCTCCCGAATGTATAATATGAACCACCCCAAACAAAATGACAGTCAGTGATTCCCATCAACTCCAATTAAAAGTACCTTTAACATACAACTAGCTCTGTGCCTGGATAGTTACTTTATAAATCATTACAGAGCTCCATGTACGTTCTCACTCGCGTTCACCACCACGTGCCACTGTGCAATGGACTCGCAAGCCTCACGCCGGCGTTCAGCGTTTGGAACCGCCCGTTGTGCTCTGTGGAGGGCTCCCAGAAGAGCGCGGTGCCGGCGCGCTGCGGATGTCTGGGAGCTTCCACCGCCGGCTGCCCCGCGCGGTGGGAACGCGGTGCCGGGTGGTGTTCAAGACCCCAGGACTTAGTCCTGTGTGACTCGAGAGTAAGTCCATATCCTGACAGAGAGCAGGGTTATTTCTTATCACAGCCTTTGCTGCATGCTTGTAGCAAGTTTGATAAAGCTCATCAGATAATGCTTAATTATCTCCGCCTCGTCCAAGCTGTGCTGTCTCTCACTTACCCCCTCTTTCACATCTTGCGTGCCCACGCCATGATGGCGCCGCGGTGGTTCTCACGTGTAAGCCGTGAAGTGGTGATGCGTTTCCTGGCTGTGTTTTCTGAATAAACATCTCTCTATTTGTTTTGCAGTTTGGGAAAGTTCTGCCTGGAAGTTTTTCATCCCCCTTAATCGAACTGTTTGCTATGCTGTTTTCCTTCTGTCTTATCTCTTGCTTGGGACCAAAATGTTTAGATTTGGGTGGTGATGTCTCGCTCGTTCACATCCTGTCAGGCAGGAGGCTTGGCTTGTCTGGGTTCACGGTATAGCTAACCAGGAAATGTGTGTGACTGGAACTGAAAATGGGATTATTGTTTTATCCCCTCCTATTCAGTGTCTATAATCTGGTTTTCCAGAGAATTTATCTCGTCATCACTCCTCACATCCAAAGCCAGTTTGAAAACTCCAGCAGTCCATCTCCACCCTGGATTTTCTTCCGTTTTACTTGTGTCTCCTTGCTGTCTCTGACATCACTCTGCTACAGCCTCTCCCCTTTATCTTTGCATTTTAAGAGCTCCTCAGGCCAGGTGCTCTGCTGGTGAACGAATGCCACCTTCCCGGCAGGAAGGCAGAAGGGAAGCCTTGAGTGCTCCAGGTGCAAGGAGGTCACGGTCTGCTTCCCCAAGGAGTGGGTGGCAGCTCCCGGTCCCTCGTGCCCGAGCTGTAACGCGGGTTGTGCTCTTCACCTGCACCCCTGACAGATGCCCCGAGACCCCGCTCGCCACGTCGGCAGGGCACGCCGGATCAGCTCCGAGCCTTGCCTCGGAGGGGTGGATCTTCCCCTCACGATCCAGTCAGAGAAAGGGTGTCAGCCAGAGAATAAATGACTGGTTTAGGGTTTGGACACCCAAACTGAAGCTCCCCACCTGCAGCCGTACGGCTCGGAAGCTTTCTGGCCGAGTCTCCGCTGGTCGGTGCAGCCCTCAGGCCTCCTCTGGCGGGAGCGGTGGGGGCCCTTGCTGCTCTCTGCAGTGCTCCTTGGTGGGCCAGAGCCACTCAACAGCTACTTGTTCTTCCCTTTCCCGCTGTTTCACTAATTCGAGCACCCTGTTCTTTTTTTATTCTCAAATTCCTGCAGATGTTTGTCTGGGTGAATGTTTTGTTTCCGATTAAGGACTAGAACTTTTAAAGATTGTTGTCCCGCCCACTTACTCCTCACATATGAGTGAACACAAATTACAGATTTTCCTTTTTTTGATAATTCACAAGTGTTGAAAAGGCAGGTTGTTCTGTGTGGCTAAACAAATGACGATTTCATCACTGGCACTTACCCAACAATAAATGTTCTTCATGTTTAACTTGTCTGAAAATAACAGCAAGAGATAGAGGGAAGCAGTTTAGATAATATATTAACCTCTCTGAACCTTGTCCATTCTCTGAAACTCAGCTTGAGTGTGTTTTGAATACGTAGGAACATGACTTTCCTTCTTCTTTTAGATTTTTCTGCCCCGTTCCTTAAACTGGGACTATGGGAATCTTTTGTTGTGAAGCCCTTTCGTTCAGCCAGATGCGGAAGAACTGCTGATCTGAAATCATCTCTGCATATACGCAATCTTCAGTGTGAAAGAAAATATTTGTTTGCTGAACTAAGGACTTTTAGGAGCCCAGCTAGCTGCAGGGCCACCAAGTTCAAACCAGTTAAACTCCTGGCAAGCTATAGAAACAGCCCAAGAAGGCATTGTGAAGAGCTCTTGCGAGGGGGTAGAGTTATGGAATTTTAGCAAGACTGAGCTTGCAGTGGCAAGATTTCCTATGCAGCAACTGCATGGTCCCCTGCCCCAGTGTAGGACAAAGATGAATCAGGCCCATTATGAAAGCAATTCATATTTAAATGAGATTTCCAGCCCAGTTCTGCGGTCTCAAGAGGTTTTTCTAAGCATCTGCTCTTTTATGCTGATTTAGACCAAATTTGAATGCTGAATCTTTGGAGAATCATAAACAAATTGTGTTAAATTACCATTAATGGAAAAACATCACAAGGAAGGAAAGGCAAGGTTGTTAATGGTATCACCGCTCTTAACTCGGGCTGCGATGGCTGTAGATGCACCGTCCTGCGGCACAGAAGTAATGCACGTAAGATCACCCACTGCTCTGAGACCTCCAGACAAGCTAAGCACAGCAGGGTGAGTAGCACTGGAATTTGTTTTACAGGAAGCCTTTCATTTCCTTGTTTTTGAGGGGTTAAGTAAGGCACTTCAAGTACTTTTCTCCCATGAGGGTTACACTAGGGAAGGGTAGCTTTAGTTTCCCCCCGGGGCTCCAGAGCAGCTTTGGCAGCAAAGGCTGCTGCTGAAAGAGAACAGGCGGATGCAATGAATCAGTGTATTCCCCAGCTGCGCCGGCTGCGTTTCCTTCCTACCCACTGTTGTCCACTTCTCAGACTGCTGCGCCCGATGCCGGTCCCCAGCTCTGTGCTGCCACTGCTGTTCTTGATAGACGGGTATGCCCCAGAGGCCCCCGACCTTGGCTTCAAAAGGCCTGGATTGGGTCGAAAGTAATTGCTGATGTTTTAATTGCTTCTCTTTCTATTCAGTGCATTCCCCAGATGAGATACTGTATACTACAATGCATTCACATTAATGGCCTCAGTGTGAGCTGCTTATGGTCCTTAGTAACATCAAGCATTCATCAAACTTAGGAAAATCACGCCATCATGCCTAGGCTTCTTCAGGTGTGACTTTGGGAAAACTGAGGTTATCGAACTCAAGCTCTGGTCAGGAGTTCTTCATTCATCAAAATCCTTCTCGGGAATGTCAAGGCATCAAAATAGTTCACCTGCAACCACCAGACTTCTGCTGCCCTGGAAAGCTTGTTGCCCCTCTGGCCAACCTGGCTAGTTATCCAGGTCAGAGCCTGCAAAGGACCCTGGCCACGGCACAGATTACCCTGTGTGGGAGCCAGGACTGTGGCCCCTGCCAAAGAAGCAGAGGAACCAGAGCCTCAAGTGCTCTGCCTGTAGCAAGGCCCCAGCAGAAAGCCCTTGGAGACGTAGGTCTAACTGGCAGATTTCAATCCAAGGCTTGGGGAATCCCAGCTCTTCTGCAGAAGAGCTGGGAGCATGGAAGTCAAGGGCTGAGTTCACAGGCTGTGCTGCTCCAGAGCAGGCTTTCCATGTGGCGGGCTCCCAGGTGGCAAGCTCCTGCAGCCATGGACCGTCCCACCATGGGTGGCTATCTCCAGTGACCAAACTCCAACGTTGTCAGTTTTCCAGTCAAGTAATTTACTAAGTAATAAAGGCCACCAGCCTGACTGATATCAATTTAATTCAATGCCAGAGAGCCCAGAATATATTCTATAATACAAAGGTTCACTTCTACAAAAATCTCATTTTGCATGGCTTGATGAGGACTGAAAATGCACAAATAATTCTTTTTAACTTGGGTGATTTCAACCTTGTTTGTAAGTTGAAGTGAAGGGAGAAACAGTTTACTTCAAAATTTACAAAGGGCAAAAAACCCCCAACCTTCTGTGTGATTGTGAATCAATATGACAAGTTTTGCCCCCATGCTAACTCTTCATATTATAGGTAATCATATCGTTAAAAAGTCTATCATGGAGATGTGCCCACTGCAATGGAAATCCTTCAAAACCGTTTTGATAAATCCACTGCTATAAGACTTTCCCTCATTACATTTTTCATGTAAATATATGTAAACAACATTACAAAAATCTTATATCTAAAATTGATAATTCAAAGTATTTTTCTCATGCTTGTCACAATAATAACAAATTATGTCATTTTGTAGCTGTAGTTGCCCTGGTGTTTTCCTATGGTAGGTTATAATTTTATAACCACCCAGTATTAAAATAAGATATATGACAGGGTAAAAATTGCACTTCAGAAAGTATATAGAATATGACGGAAGAAATTTCCTCTATCCTTTTTTCCTAAAATCTCATCAGATTCCTCTAGCTTCCAACTGCATCATAGCCCTAAAATCAACAAATTGTTCTTCCTTTCTGTATTCATATGTTTTAAAGTTTCTAAAAGAATTGAATGCTCTTCATACAACAAAGAATTTGTTTAGCTTTGATATAATACATACACATTTTACTTAACAATGAACAATATTACCTGATGTAAAAGAGTGATTGTTCAAACACTGGATCTAATTTATAGCCCTCTGTGACAGGGGAAGACTTCCACTAAGAAGTTTGAGCGTTGATGGGGCTACTCAATCCTAAACCAATGGTGTTCTCATATTAATGAACACATGCGGTTTTAATACAGAGCTACCATCCTCAATTCAAAATGGAGTTTGAAAAGGCTATATCAGCTTTTCAGATTTTCTTGCTTTTGAATACATTTATACACCTTCAAGAGACTAGTAGAGAAATGATTACATGCAGCTAGTAGCTGAATTCATCTAACCATAATTATTTATGTAGAGTGAAAGACATGGTAGCTGCATTTGTAAGGTGAAAATGGAGGATTGATTTTATTTTACAACTGTATCACGTAAGGATCTTACCAGTATGCAGGTGCATGTATATACACATTCCTGTATCCACCCATCTTTGAGTTATTTAACACAAATTTCCTAGGAAACTATTTATAACCTTCGTCACCTTGTGATTTTTAATGATGAGATTTTAGACCAATCCAAATACCATAAACTGCCATGTAAAAAACAAAACACCCCTCCCAAAAAAAACCAATAAAAAACGCCACCAAACAAACAACAGCCTGGTCCCCACCCTCCCACCCCCCACCCCAACTGTCATGTCTCGAGACAGTTCAGCGATTCAGCAAAGGTCTTGTGTATCAAACAGGCTTGGATGCAGCATTACCATTTAATAACAATAATTAACCTTGTCATTTGGCCAATCTTGTCTCTAAAAGTCTCCAAATTTTTCATCAGTTACTGGAAAAAAAGAAAAAAATCTTTAAAGGAATATGCGTTCCTGAAATACTGCCTGCAGTGTTCAGTGGGTATCTGTGCCAGCAGTTAATGTATATGCCATAATTACATTAGGTAACAACAAAGCAGATGGATTATGCGCTTGCTGTCATTTAATGTATCCTCTCTGTATAGGCAGAAAGTTTTCTTAAAACAAACACACAAAAAATCCAAAACATTTTTTCCATCTATCAATGCTGTTTTTCCTGATGTCCTTTAAATCACAAATCCAATAATATTATATATCCTGTAAAATTTAGAAAATTACTTTAAGCACCTGGGTTTTACATTAAACTGCTGTCTGAAGGAAAAATTCAAATTGTTTATACAGAGAACTGCAAGATATTTTTGCCATCATTGTTGAACTTGTAAAATATTTTGTGTGAAATTAAGCAGATTATTTAAACATACCTCGTCAAACCGTATATGAAACTCCAGTTTTTTTTCTTGAAAACTTCTTCCTCACTTGCCTTTCTCATTAACCCAGTAGTTTTCCATAGTGAGCACCACCCCGGGCCGACGTTATGTCAGTGATTTATAACATTAATTTCAATGGAAACAGGATGTTGACTAGTAAATTATCCCCCAGCACGGTCTGCTCAGTATTACATTAGACCACGGGAATAGTGATAAGAAAGCTCCTTACGAATTTAACACTTTAAAATATTCATTCTTGTGTTTGCAATGTAAGTTACTGCTATTCTTCGTCGATATTCTAAAGATTTCTCAAATTACTTGAAAGATGTTCTTAATAGGCAAGCCTCCTAAGGTAATATAGTCACCATTAAACCTCTTACAGACGTCCTAATCACCAATAACCCTGTAAAGTTAGTTAGGCATGATTGTAAAGAATTTATTGATGACCAGGCCATGAATCATTTTAATATTGCTTATAAACTGTTTGATCCACCTGAAAAAGGTAATATTGCTGGATTTTGAGGACTATAGTTGAGTTCCTAGAAAACAAGTCAAAAAGAAAAGTTCCTGCGTGTAACCTGTAGCTTTTCTCTCCTTAGTTCTGTTATTCCTCTACTTTGAATGAAGACCTGCAGTCATCACTGTCCTTCTACTTCTCATCTTCCATGATTACTATCCCATGAGCTTTCCAAAGTCAACATATATTGTTTTCTAGGATCTATAACACTTTCTCAAGACCAAGTTCACTTGGCAGCTCAAATAGGGTAGTCTAGTTTTCTTTTTTCCCATGAAATGCCATGGTCTGGGAGCAAACTGGGATTGCAAAAGAGCCAAAGAGACACAAATGATATTTGAAGAAGTGGACCTTCCTACCAATATCTGTAAAATGTTCTGGGGCCTGGTCTCTGCAATGCCATGTACCAAACTGGATTTTTTTATATTCTCATGCTTTGCTTTTGAACTCAGATTAACATCATATTTTTTCCTCCCTATCATAATTCCACTTAAACTAACTTAGTTTTACTTGGGTGTTCTTTAAGATCCAAATCATACACCTTCTCTATTGTATTCTCATGAATACCAAAGCTGCAGAATATATATTGTTGACATGTGTTGGGAAAGTGCTTTTATACTTGGATTCCTCTTAGATTACATTCAATTTTAGTTATAATGAGTGTAATCCATTTGATACTGTTGACCCAAATTCCCCTGAGGAAAGCTGCAGTTCTGAATTGATATTTGCATCTCTGAGTCAACTGGGTAACATTCAAAATCACGCAGACTTCAAATCTGAAAAATGTCCCGTTTCAGGCTTATGCTGGGGGTTGTGACTAAGTTATATTGCAGAAATGTATTTCTGCAACACTTTAAACCTCTTGGTGTAATTTAATCTTGTCACTGCCCTCACTTACATGACACTTTACTTATCTGTACCCGATGTCTGTAAACACCTTAAGAGAACACTGACCATTAGGAAGCAGAAGCACCTTTCTCAAACTTATTCCTGGGCGTCTTTTCTGAAATCGTATTTCTTGTCCCTGTCATGCTCCTTAATCGTTCCTCTTCTGCAATAAATAGTTATTTCTCTCCCTGTTAGAATCCTTTCCTGTCATTCGTCATGTTATGAGTACCTTTTCTTGAGAACAGGAACAAAATCCCAGTAGGCTTCAGGAAGCCTTTAATTCTCTTCCATTCTCATGTTGTAGAAAATGGACACTCAGAGTGTCATCTTCTTCTGGAAGGATTTCATTGACAACTTTGTTTCAGAGTTTTGGGGTGCTTTGGAAAAAACCAGCCGTTTGGAAAGATGGAATTATTAGTATCGTGAGTGTTAATCTCAGTTTGATAAGTAGAGTGTCTGGATAAGGAAGCTCTTGAAAATTTTTTCAAGTTTAGTCTGAAAATTATTTAATACACAACAGGGACCTTGGAAGATTCTGGAGAGAAAACAGTTTTATTGAGTCATTACAGAAGATCAACTATACAGCTCAAAACAAGAGTTTATGATTTCATTTGACCTTTGACCAAGCTGGCTGGGTGCCCGTGCTCACAATGACAACACATATAGAGGCTCTCCAGAGATGAAGTAGTCTTAAAACTTGTGTATAGAGTTCCTTTTTCATATATCGTTGGAGGCGTGGGATTAGCCCTGTAAAATAGATCATGTGAATTTGCAGGTACAGAGATGATGACTTGCAACAGCAATTGCTAAGAGGTAAAGATCAAGCCATGAATCTTGCTCATCTGTTTAAGATCTTTGGGGTAACCAAGAAAAAAGAATATCCTTGAAGATTCAGGTCAGTCAGTAGGATAAACTTAGTCAGCTTGTTGTCTGGGATGACTGAGAAACACCAGAGAAGGTCTTCAAAAACAGGCTGGAAAAAAGCCTATCAGTTTAGCCATATATTGCTTTGGTGTTAGGGAACAAAGTGGGTGACTATTGTTTTGAGCTCCATTTTCTATGATTCTAAATTCCCAGATGCATCTTCAGGGTGACTCTACCTGCAGATTTTTGGGTAGCAAAAAATGTTATCAAATGCAACCATGGCAGAAGGCAGAACATGTACTTGTCTCAATCCTTTATTCCAAGTGAATATCCAATTAAACCATTCACTTCAGTATCCCACTGCTTTTCTCACTTGTTGGCTCACACAGGATGAGGGCAGAAAGGTGCTGCTGAACACCAGATTACATCCTGGGCAATAGGAAAACTATATAGACAAACACCAGCTCAGCATTCAAAACTTATATAAATAAAATACCAGAGGCCAAATTAAGCTTTTACTTTACTGTTTTCTTCAATAGGCAAATGCAAATATATTTCTCCATAATTTATGTCTTGACAGATGATAATGAATGTGAAAATGCTACTCAGCCTTGTGGAGAGCATGCCAATTGCACAAACACAGTGGGAAGTTATTTCTGCATGTGTGTGCCTGGTTTCAAATCCAGCAATGGTCAACAAACTTTTGTACCTAATGATGGAACCTCCTGCGTGGGTAAGTTATTAATGTCTGCCAGCTAGCTTTGCATTGTCACTCTTCTCTTATTGCTTCTGTTAATTATAGAAATCTAGCAAAATGCTTTCAGATTTATGAATTTTGGAGTCTGGATATAAAATTCCCACAATTTGGACTGGTACAGGCTTAGTATCCAGTTCAGGCCCACACTTCTCACCAATAACACAGCAGCTGCCTTTGCTTTCAGTAACACTTCAATCTTGACTCTGCTTGAAATATTTTTAATCCTCATGTCATAGTTTTAGACAACGACTATATAGTTAAGGTAACACAGAAATCCCTAATCCACCTATTTATGGTTCACTGATCTGTGAGCAAGGTGCTCATATTCTTAAAACAAAGCAGAGTAACAAAGTATTCTGCATTCAGGTCGCTCTGGACCAACAAAATTTTCTATATGTTTGACCTGCTGTGCTCCAAATATCTTTTGTTTAGGGGTTTTGGTTGGGATATTTTTGGTAATTTTTCAAGCCTGACTGAAAGCAATGAGCAAGATCAGTAGTTACCCTACCTCATGTGCCATCCATCAGCCTCTGTTCCCGTAGCAGTTGGATGGAACATGTTCAAGATTACAGGGGAGGAAAAGTTCTCTGAAAAAATGTTATTTCTGAACAACTATACAATACTTCAGGATTTCCTTTGAATGGAAGAACTGTAACTATTTCTCTTTTTTTCAAACTCCTGGTGATTTTCTCTGTGTGTTGCAACAGTCCTCAGGGAATGGGAAAATGAGAAATAAATCTATTGCCCTTTACACCTTTATGCTGACTGTGTCTCATTCTAGATATCTCCTGTGAGCTTGTGAGTGCTGACAACCTCTGTTCTTACTGCTCTTAATATCAGCAAAATGGCTCCATATTAAGCCAGAAAGTGATCTAATCAACATTTCTTGCCCATTGCTCACATCCATCTAAGAGCTCTGCTTTATCCAGCTGCTATGAATCGTTCTTAAATTAGCTGGGATTGAGACTGTTAGCACATTGGGCTGTAAATATTCTCACTGTTTCTGGTCCAGGCTTTGATTTTTATGTTATGACATTTCCTCAGCTTCAGAAGTTTTGTCTTCAAAGTTATTTCTCTGACTGTTCCTGTGTCACTTTAGCCTTTTGCCATTAGCTTGCTAATTTCTTTTTTTTTTTCTTTTTTTGCCCTCTTTACTGGGCAGACAGATCTTTTTTTATCCTCTACTGCTTTTTGCAAATCCATATGGGAGGAGCTGAGAACTTCCAAAACTCACACTGAAATAAAAAATTACCTGTGGGCACCTTTTCTCATTAAGCAAGTGTACCAATTAACTTTACCAAGCAATGAGTCCTAAAGACAACCTTTTGATCCACAATTAATTTTCCACTTTATCTGTCAGGGAAACCGTAATAGGATATTCTTTACCCACTGGATCTGCTACTACAGGTGGTACATAGGAGTTGCACACAAGCAGCTGACAGTAGTGTATTCAGGGTGTACCCTACACAGCTGAAGCAAAGACCAAAGTTATCATTGTAAATACAGTGCAAGTTACCCACTACCTCCCCATGTTTATAAGTCCCCAAAATATTTTCAGATTCTGCAAAGTCTTAAGTTTTCTTTTTAATATACGTGTATAATGTATATGGCAGTAACTTTAAAAATACAGTGGTTGAATTTTGGAGAGCATGCCATTATGCAACCTACTTGGTTATGCCATGAAACCTACCTGGAGTTCCCCAGGGTGCAAATGTGGTGCCTCACTCTGTGTGTGTGCTAGTCCATTTCAAAGTCCATGTGCATGTGTGTTCCTCCTCTCTTTGGATACGACACTAAACTTCTGAATACAAAGTGATTAGAACTTTCAAGTGAATCAAAAGAAAACATGGGATAACAGCTTTGAGAAATGCCAGTTCACCCTTAATCCAACCAGAATGTTGAGTTTTGAGTTGAGAGTCAACAGTATTTCATCCATGTTATCGGGCAGAATTGGTGAAGAGGTGACAATGAAACATGCAGATAGAGGAGCAACTGGAGAGTAGGAAGGGAGATAGAGGAAAAAGAGAAAGGAAATGGAGAAGAAAAAAAGAGGAATGCAGACATATTTCTGAAGATATTTTTCTGCTGTCCTGAATCTGAGTTATTAAAATCCATTTACTGTGTAAAAGCTATCCTTTTTGTTAGACTTCACATTTTATTTAATGTTCCTCTGCAGATAAAAAGGTGAAATATAAACCTGCTTTTTTTTCACCCAGGTCAAAAGAATAAAAACATGAAAATGGCCATCTTTAAAATGAAAGTGATATCCATGTCACTCTGCCTTTTCCAGGAACATGCTATTAGTTTTCTTCAGGTTTTTGTTAGCTTCTTCTGAGAGTACTGGGAAGGCACCCATTCTCCATCACATCCTTTTCTGTGACAGGGGAGTTGGACAGTGGATGGGATATGACATTATGCCACATCGCTAACTGTTCTTTTACCTGTGCCGTTCGTAGGCTTTTTCATTTCTACTTTGTGTGTGCCGCTGCCTTCCACAGTATGGAGACACGGGGAGGGAACATCTAGTCCTTTGCAATTGGACTTTTCAATCACTTGCAAGCTACTAATAAGCAGAAGGTATAATGTAGACATCAAGCTGTCTTGACTGACTGATGAAGAATCAAAGCTATGTAGGTACAATCCAGTAATTGGCAAGACTGAACATAATAACTGTTCTCAGTACTTTTAATTTAATTGGAATTTCCTTGCCTGCTGCAGTAAATGAGGAGTGACAAAGCACAGAAATAAAATAAAAGGTTATAAATCTATTTTCACACTAGCCTAAGTGGTGTTGGTGATATTATTTTTCTGATCAGAGCTATTATAAAAGCTTCAAAGTTCAGCTCCAGGATCTGTTTTGAATATTTACTAAAAGGCCGGGGCTTTTTGCAAAGCTATGGCGAATGCTCTTCTGTTTAAAATGCTGCTGTTCTTCAACCTTTGCTCAGGAATGTTGTCTGTGAAGACTGCTCACGCAAACCTTGGCTGCCCAGTCCCACTCCCTTAGTAGATCAAGGAGGACGGTTTGAGATCCTCTCCCCAAAGCTCTAGTAAAACTGGATTGCTGAAAGCACTGACAAGCTGTTGTCCGTGTGTGGTCCCACAATTGCATATTTGGTTAAAAAGGCATAACTACAAAATATAAAGAAACAAAAACCTACAGCTACCGCACACGGTATTTCAAAGCAAGAACTTAAAAGCAGCGTTCTTGCAACTGTCACAAATTGTTGGCTGCCCCCGACAATCTCATTGATTTAAAAGGGATATGAAGCTGATTAGTACCTTGCAAGATGAGGCATATTGCCTTTTAATTTTGTCATCCAAGAGATTTTTTTTTTCTCCAGGAGACAGTAAATTAGATAGGCGTGATACGGATTCATTCCATATGGGCAACTCAACTGCAGAAACTCTATTTGCATATGCTCGACAGGGTGTCTCTATCAGACTGTAAATAGCGATCCTGTTGCCTGACATGTGCCTTGGTGCTTGAGTTTCTGCTGCTGTTTTGGATAATCCTGACTTCTCATTAAAATATCCGTTACACTTAATATCTGACATAATTACAAAAGGAAGGGTAATTTGTGTGACTGCCCGATAATGACAAATAAATGATTTGCCAAACAAAAAACTTATGAAAAGGAAAATATCATAATAACCTTTAAATATTTACATCAGTATATCAGATGGAAACCTGATACTTAGCAATGGTAGTCTGGAAAATATTAAAATATTTGTTTATTTGTAAGTCACTTTAAGTTTTAGCAAAGCTTGTTGTCGTTTGCTGGTGTTTTAGCATTGCATTACATGCTGGATATCTTGTTAAGATGTACATGTCCTTCTCTGTGTAGCTGACAAGGCCAGAGGAATCTTTGGTATAAGGCTGGTGTTTGTTTTTGTTATACCAACTGCTATTGTCATGGTTTTCACCCTTGCCACTTCAATGCATCCAAACTTTCTCTGTCTTACACAGAGTCACCCAACAGGGCACTGACAGGCACCCACTTGTTTCAAAAAGAGCTTTATAATTTACTGATGTGAGAGGTTATTTAAATGCCAAGAGTAAGAACTTTAGCCTTATGTCTTTAAATGACAGCATTTAATTATGAGGTAGCCTGTGTATAGCACTATATCACGCTGTTTTCCCCCTTTTCTTCACTTTTGCCAGATTCATTGACGTATAATGTGGTTAGCTCCATGACTATGAATACTGAGGTCACAGAAACCACACAAATATGGATAATGCAAAACTCAGCTCATTAAATAGAAACGTTTGCAGTTTGGGGCATTAAATACGGAAACAAATTATTGCCCTAATGCAGATAATTATAATTTAACCTCATACTTTAAACTTCAGTGCTTGCGTCAACCCGTTCAAACACACAGCCTCCTTGGCAGCTCTCCCTGAAGAGCAGAGGTGGTTGTGCCGGGGAGGGCAAATGCGCCTCCAGCCCTGCCCCTCCTTCCCCTCTGTGCCGCGCCGGCGTCTGAACAGCGTTTCGGTGGGAGCTTCTGAACCCGCGGCTTGCGACGCGGCATTTCAGGCGCGCATCGGGGGCACTGCTCAGTGAGGGAAACGGGGACGTGGAAGTGAGGTGGGACCTCGGCCATCTACTTGAACCCCAGGAAGACATCTAGGGTTACTGGTGGACGAAGGGGAGGTGGAGAATTAAGCACAAAACAGCAAAAATTGTGTGGATGCAGAAAATGTTAAAATATTCCATTAAAAGCTTAAATTCATTTTACAGTTGCCCTGTATACAAGAAAGAAAAAAAAAAAAAACTCAACAAAAAAAAGCGTTCATCTGATTATTTACGGAGCCTTTCTTGCCATTAGTAAAGAATGTTCTACGACGTTACTATAAATGCTCTCCAAATAGGCAGACAGCCCCCAGGTATCCTTCAGACATCTTTCTGCGTTCCCTAGATATATCCACAGACATGCAGCACATTTTTCTGTTCTTCCACAATTCCTGTTTCTCTAGCAACCTTATTTCACATACATTATTGCTCATTTTTGTCACATTGCTTTTTGAAAACCACCAACAATCATGTATCAAAGTAAGAGGGAAAAAATCGTTCCTATATGCTAATGGTTCATTTCTAGCCCCCGTATCTGCTTTCTGCCTGCTCGATCTTAAAACCCATCCGGCTGCACAACGGCCTCCTGCCAACTCTGATGGCTGTTCTCCTCCGCTAATCGGTTAATCAGTTCTCCTTTCTCGCCCGTTTCTTTCCCAAATTCAGTGTCACGCCAGTTCTTAACTCAGGTTGTCTTCCTCTCTGGTTTATCCTCTCCCCTCGCTACCTTTTTGCTGTCCGTCAGTTCAGTTCCCAGCCTCTTCCCCTCTCAGGCTGTTCCTTTAAATCCGCTCGGGAGTCGCTTCATTTTTCAGCTCTTTTCGTCAGGTGTACCTGTCCCAAAGCTGTTCGCTCTCTTCGCCTTTCCAGCACAGCATTTCACAGTCCATTGCTTCGTTCTTCAGAATGATTTGGTTTTGTTCCCAGTTTACTTTCTCCATTGAGTTATTTGATCTTTATCCTCAGCCAACCAAATAATGCAAAGTAATCCCTACTCCAGCCAGCGAGTTAGTACCCAGCTCTGCTCGATTGATCAATTCATGGATTCCCTTTACCGGAATTCATCGGTTTTGCTCTTGGACTGTGCCCCACCCAGCTACTGAACCTGTCTACCTAATGGCAAATTATTTAGAAGCACAAAAACCATTTCAGGCAAATGTAATTTAACTGTGGATTAGAAAAAATACGCCAAGCACTTTAAAGGGCACAGAGCTTAAATCTTAGATTAACAAAATGGATAGAGTGATCTTTTGTAGCATCTTTTTAAAGCTGTGACTTAAAAGAGAAGGCTGCAGTTCTCTTTCTCTTTTCTAACGGAATTGTAAGGCTGAGAAAATCTATTTAGTCTAATCTCTGGAAAATGGATTTCAGATGATTTGCATCATGCTGAGCATTTTCTTATGATAGAATTAATATTTAAACTCATGGTTTTAAAACGTGAACAATGCAGTATTGTATTGTAATAAAAGTGATGGTATAAAAATATGATCAATTATGATTTATCCTTCTAATCCCTAAGTATTATAATTGGGAGGTGTTTTGCCATTAAGTTTGCCTGTTTAGTTTTTGCTTTTTTTATTCCATGAAATTTTATTATGAAACTACTTGCAGTGTGCAGGGCTATTATCAACAAAGCAGCAAGGTGTTAGTCTGTAAATACTTAATAAAAAATTCAATTTCTCCCAATATTTGCAGATGTAGATGAGTGCAGCAATGAAGGAACTGTTGCCTGTGGAGATCATGCGAAATGTGAAAACGTGGATGGAGGGTTTAACTGCTCCTGTAAGGAAGGTTATCAACCATCCACAGGAAAATTGCAGTTTAAGCCAAATGATGGCACTGCCTGCCAAGGTACATGATATTATAAAGGTTTATGTGTTATTATAGAGCTACATCTTCTGAGAAACCCACCAGTGCCTCTTTATCTTCAGTTAGATTAATCTGCGAGACATGAAAAAGAGGCGAGGCAACGGCATTTACATTTCCTGAGAATAGAATCGTTTTGTAAATGTATTTTTGCTAACTAGTATTGATGAAACCCATTTGAAATAATGGATACCTCCCCATAGTTGTCAGATTTGTACTCCCCTCTGCAAATTTGAGTTATCTCTTAACTTCACCTGTGGAAGTCCCAGGGAAAGGGGCCAAACTCTCTACCTGAGTAAAACAAAACCTCAGAGTCCAATCCAGTGCTGTAACTTTGACCAAGATAAAGTCTTAGTAGTTGAAGTTCAAGAATGGAGTGCTGTGTCTTATGTGCATAAAATCAGAATGCTGGTGGTTTGGAGAACTGCTTGGACAAGAGTTCTTACAATTACTATATACTGAATATTGATTAAACTGCAATATATAATTAGTTTCTTTTTAATTTCCACAGAAAATCCAAAGGCCAAGTGTGAGTTATACAAAGACTGCATAAGTGAACATATTAATAGAACTTTAGCCAGAGTAAGTAGCATTGGTTTATAGATTAATTTCCAAATCCTTTAATTGTTTCTGTTTGAAACTGTTATTTCAATCATAATAGTTCTTAAGCAGCTTTTAAAAAATGCTTGAAGGATACAATTGAACTTTTACAGAAGCCTTTTTAACAATTTCAAATTATTTGAACTGGGTTGTGTGTTCAAATCGTGATAATAACTTGCTGGGAATCTGTGTGTTCTGTTTCTAGCAAAGTGAGTCATGATGCATGAAAAATTCAGAAGTGTGGTAATCATTCAACTGTGTCTCTAATTTCTGAAGTTACACATTGCTGCAGCTACTGATGTGCAATTATTTGCTTGTTCAGAGTGAAAGGCAGCAAGATAGCTTACAAAAGTAATGTCAACAAGTGACAAAATATAAAATGGAGCAATGACATCCTGGTATGCCAAGATATTTACTCCTCAAAGCATAGTATGTAAAGTGGTACAGATTTTATAGGCTCCAAGACTCTAGACTCAAGATTTTTTCACCAGAAACAGAGATTCGTGAAGTAAACTAAAAAAAATTTTAATGAATCCACTATTCATTAGTCTGCAGCTATAGTATTGTCTAATTTAAAAGAATAAATGAAACATAAGCATAAATACATTAAACCCAATTGTATATATTTGCATTTTATATTAAGCAGTTTGCTGAAGTTACAAGGTTCAGAAAAATATTCATTTAAAACCTTTTATTTATCTAGTGCAAGAAATACATTGGATTAGCATGCTTTCTATGTTCACCTGCAATGTAATACTTCATATGAAATATAATACATGCTCACCATGTTTACATGCAAAGACATGGTAAATGCCACAGCACGATCTTAGAGTGAGATTTTTTAAAAATAGAAACTCAAACTAAACTTAAATCAGAGCGATACGTCAAAATACTTCAATTTTATGTAAATAAGAGTGTGTCAGATTTTAGCCTATTTTTCAGCCTGTGTTCTAGTTCTATTCAGCTGCAAAGGTAAAGCAGGCCCCATAAAAGCTATTCAGCAGCAGAGACTATGGATCTTACAAAATCAGGTGTTGAGAGGGTTTTTGATGGATAAAATCTCATCAGAATTCAGTATTGTGAAGTAAGAATTCTTTTCTTATTCAGCCATGAGACCGAAACTTGCAATCTTAATCTTCATCTCACCCTCTCTAGCCTATTACTTTTTAAATTAATTGTTTTCTGTAAGTGCATTTAGCAGTTCATAAACTGAAGTAGTAAAGGTGACATAGGCAATATATTTTCACTAAACTGCATGCTTTATAATCTGCATTTGAAAAAAAAAACAAACTACAAAATATAGAAACACTGCCCATCTGCTCCCACCTCTTCAGCTAAAATTTAACAGAAAAGAGTCAACAGAGTAACCGTATCACTGATTCTGAAGTATTTTTGCAGAACATTTGCTAGTGCATTTTGGAGCATTAGGGTAAATTAAAACTGAGCTGCGGTAGTAAAAAAAAAAAGTAATAATAGCACATGAGTGTTTTCTTTGTAATAATAGTTGCTTGTTAGGGTTATACCAGACATGTGTAACACCATTACTTTATAGGTCAACCTGTTGATTTAATTAGTGCCTCTCTTTATGCACTCAAAAGCATAACCCTTTTACGCGTCTTAAAAGCCAGTAGGTTAATTCTCAGAAATCAGTCATTTGCATTTGGTTTACTTTCCCTTGCAGAAACGCAACTTCACCTGTTTCATTAAGATATGAGTTCTTGTATTTTTCAGATTAGTCATTTAAAAACACCCCTGGAGATGCTGCAAGAAATTAATAGGAATACTTTGGGACCACTTTTACCTGTAGATGTGATTTCGTATGTTGAAGCACTATCTTACTCATCGCTGAATACCATGCGTTACTCTGTTTCTGACAATGAAGTGCTTCGTAATACAACCATTAACGTGAGTGGATCAAGCTTTAAAGTTGTGGGTTTTTCTTATTTTATGAATAGCATATGACTCTTCTGCTTAAAAATATTCTTTTACTTACAGGTTTTTGTTAACACTGTGAATAATTTTTTACAAAAAGACAAAAGTGCAGTCTGGGAAGCTCTTCCCGTAGATAACCAAAGACGGAGCCTGACTAAGCTGCTGCATACCGCAGAACAAGCGACACTTCTCATGTCGCAGAACTTCAAAAAGACAACACAGCTAGATGCTAATGCAAGTGAGATAGGTAAGATAAAGAAAATGAATCTAAGGTATACTTTAGATGTGGATTACACTGAGGATTCTTTCGGCACATTTATGAAGATTAGAAATGGTGTTATGTGAAACACACAGGTGTTAATTTGTATGAGTGTCATAACTAACACCTGACTTTCAGTGTAGTATCAGAATTTTCAAAGATTGACTATTTGAGCCCAGAGCCTGGAGTCGCTGTGGGACTTTTTAGAGTCTCCTTCAATCTCTCATTATAGTCACACACTCGCAGTGAATCTGGATGCACCTTATATGCACAAAATTATCCTATGCATCTTACGTGCATAAAAACACCAGTGGAATGAAAATTGGATTTGCTCTATATAGATTTTTTTACTCTCTTTGGTTCAGTGAAGGTATTGCAAATGATCGTGGAATAAGGATTGTACCTAGTGAGTCCAATTTTGTGTGGCTTTATTTTCAGAGAAATTTCTCATTTTCAGAGGAATTCCAGAGGGGAATTGGTCACTCTCAAATGCACTCCTTTGCTCTCCTACCTTGCCCCTGTGTGCTGGTGCCTTCACACTAACTTCTGCTGATTTTCCTGCAGTACTAATAGTTTTAGCATTCCTTCAGTGGAACACAGTAAGGCTAATACCAGCTGTTTTCAAAATCCTAATAAAGCATTGCTGATTCCTTTGGCAATGGCCACGCTTTCATTTTTGTTTTTTTCTGAATGTACTCAAACTGTATGTGACCTGATTTCTTATTTTAGATTCAGTACAGTCCTTCAGTGCCTCTTACTGGTTTGCCGTAAGATGACTTGATGAGAAAGATTCCTCCTTTGGTCCCGAGGCAGGTCAAACCACCTCTTCTTCCCTCGCCTTTCTGCAACTAAATTAGCAATAGTGATGAAAAAAATTGGGAGGGATTTGTTCCATGACATAAACTCTATAGAAGCAGATTTAGTGCAGAGCATCGCTGGGTGTGCGGCAGATCCAGAGTAGGGCGAAGAGCTGGCTGTAAGGGCTCTTCTCCCCCGACCCCAGCTGAGAGCAGAGGCTCTCGTGGCCGCAGAGCTGAGGCTATGAAGGTCAAGAAGAGAGGGTTCAGGTGCAGCCTCTGGTGGCAGTGTGGACATCAGTTAGACCAAAGTGACAAAAAAACAGCTGATCAGGAGAATGGGAAGGAATTTCCATGTTGAAAGATCAATCATTTTCGGCTTGCTTTTGTTCCAAACTGGGAAATTCTATGAGCTCTTTTCCAAACTGACCCCAAACAATAAATTTTTTTGTTATTGATTCTCAGCATGAATGTATTTTCCAAAGGGCTTATACACGCCCCACACATCTATTTTGGGACAAGACCCACAACATTACCCCTCTCTCTGCGCTGCTTTTTATGGTGCAAGCTCTGGAGCTACAAGCTTTTCAAAACTCCAGCTACAGAAAACTATTTCTTACGTCCTGACAAACATTTTCTGACAGCTGGTCTATTGAATAGTTCATATTATTTTTGTGTGCAGTGCTATAAGCAATGCAGATGGTCTAGCTTAGTGATATTCCTCCATCAGTCAAGTTTTAGATTTGTTTGTTGTTGTTTTGTTTTTTTAAAAAAGGCCTGATTGACTTTTTTTTGTTCCCGTCCTGGGTGATTGAAACTCAGCACTATAATGAACCAAGTAAAGAGCTCAATGTCCTCTAATGTAGTTTTTGTCCTGAGGGGTGATACTTGTTTGCTTTTTGACAAGACACATCATTATTTCATGGTGCAATGTGCATTTGGTAGCATGGATAGATAACTATAAAATACATACTTTTCAAAAACGGGCTTTTATCAAATGTTACTATTCAGTAGAGAATTTTATGCTTTGCTTTTTATAATTGTGATTTGTGGTCCCTTTCAGAAATGCATTTTTAATAAAGCAATAGCTCTTCCTAAAGTAACCTACATTATTCTTTCCAGTGCCTAATTTAATGCAAGGTAAATAAAAGACTATATTTTTCATGGAAAGAATAAGAAGTATGAGAGCAAAATGTATGCACGAAAATAACAAAACATAGAGGTTTAAGCAAACATGCTGTATTAATAGCATTTTTCTTGAAATATTCAGCACAATGATATATTCTTAAAATTCATGGTAATTATGCAATCCAATAGCACATTTATTAACCCAACTGTAAATTATGGTAGACAATAATGGAACTGTGATTTATACAGTATTTTTCTTCTTTTGCAGCACTCAAGGTTTTTGCTTTTGATTCACACCACATGAAACACATTCACCCTCATGTATACACAGGGGGAGATTACATAAAGATCTCTCCAAAGAAGAGAGAGGACTCTCATTCTAATGGTAAGAAAAAACGTTTAGGTAGGTTAATAAATGGTAGGTTAATAAACACCTTGGATAGACCTGTACCCACCAGTAAATAACCAAATGTGCAGTTTACCAAGACTGAGCTTCAGCCCTGCTAACTGTAGAGGAGTCAAGGTATATTTATCACTATCTCACCTACCCCTTTGTTGTCTCAAGGCTGATATTTCTAACATTTCCAGTGGCACTGTGAGTATCCAGTGGTTTTAAAATTCAGAAACGCGAGTTTTATCTTTTTCTTGGCCATAGATATGAGGGGTAACTTTGGACTGGCCCCTTCAACTCTCTCTGTGTCAGTCCTCCTCCAAAAATTGAGATTTTCTCAATTCTCTCAAAAAAAAAAATTCTCTCTCAAACTCTCTTTTCTATTTAGAGAGTAGCTCACTGGGGCAAGACCATGTATTCTCCAGTACCCAAACCAGCAGGGCCCAAATCCTGGCTTGGACCTGCGAGTGCTACAGAAATGGCTTACAACTACTGTCATCATTAAAAATATAGAAATGTGTTTACGCAGTTCTGGAATTAAACCACCTAACCTAATAAACACAGAAAAGATGTTTTTAAGTCTTAATCTTCCAGCTGATCTGAATCTCACCGACTATCAGTATCTAAAAATATGGTTTATCTTGGTACCAGGGAGAAAAAACCCAACATTTTTTCAGATCAGCATTGCATCCTAAAACACCTTTGCTTTCTTTTTCCCTATGTGTCTTCCATCTTGGCTCCACAGTAATGGAAGCCAAAGCAAGCCATGTACTTCAGAAAGGCCCTGTATTTATCTCGGGTCTGAGCCATTTTAGTTTATGAGTCCTGACACCACGTGTGTAGCCGATTGCAGAACAGCAGCAAGCATATATTACCCTAGGAAAAAAAATATATGCATATATCTAATTAGAATTTCCAATGCGAACACACATTTTTATTTCTAATGGCAGTTACATTGTTTTAAATAAAGCTATATTTCTTTGTCTCTAGAACATTTTTAAAAGTATTCCACGAAGATTCCATCTGTGTTGCATATTTTATGCAATAGCAGTAATAATGTAGATTGTTTATTGTTTCCTTAATGTCTTCAATTTTGTTCTTCTATAAAAAACCCACAAACTACTAAACATGGTCTGTTTGATTGATAGGCACCGTTGCAGTTGTCTTTCTGCGGTATAGCAATATTGGCTCTTTGCTTTCATCGCCTAAAAACCGCTCCTCCAAAGATACTTCAGAGCAGAGACAGACAGTAAGCTCATCAGTTATAGCTGTTGCAATTAGCTCAGACCCACCTACACTCTATGAGCTTGAGAAAATAACATTTACCTTAAAGTATGCCAAGGTAAGGCTTTTTTTAATTAACAACTTCAAATAAAACAAAACGATAGCTAATTATTTTATGTATGGTAACCATACGTGCCGTGTAGGATATATTGAGACATAATTCTGTTGTTTGCTGACGTGAGTTTAATCTTATTAGAGAAGTAAAATTATAGTCTTAAATGTGACATGCTAAGTGCAGTATGCTAAATGTGATACAGCTGAAAAGTGCTACGGGACTAAGGCAAGGGCAACAATGCCATCTTTGCTGGGTATGAATAAAATGTAGATGCCCGAACCAGAAAATATTACAGGATCCTGACAATTCTGTATTTAGGTGAGTTTCTTCTGGAAGTTTATCAGGTGGTTAAAAAAGCATACTAAAAAAAAAAAAAAAAAGAAGAAATGCAAGAAGTTAATGCAAGAAGTCAAGAAGTTAACCTGCAACTAGGAGTTAATAGCAGAATGTATAGTATTGCAACTTCATTATTTCAGAAATCTGAATGCATTAATTTATAAATCAGAGTTTTACTTCCAGTATATATAGATTTTGCTGACTTCACTTGTATGTGAAGAATAATCTTACATGGCACAAAGAATTACCAGAAGCGTAAAAAGAAAGTGAAACTGTAGGGATGTGGGCAGTGGGGCAAGGTGTTAACCTTGGTTACGCAACTTTTAAATTTGTTACTTGCCTTCTAATATTTGAGATAGAGAACACCTTCATATAAATTTGCATATATTTATACAGCATCTAGCATAGTGGGGACCTTATCTTTGATTAGTGTTAGCAAGCACTAACCGTAATAAATAATACTGACGCTCTTAATCATCGCTGTCGTCGCACCTGACATAGCAGGTGTGCTCTGACCCTGGCTTTACCCCAGATTACTTTGTAAAATGCACAGAATAAATCTGAGATTTTGAACTGCTCGTTTGGAAGGGACTGGGAGCAGGACACGCAATGTGGCTGTAATGCAGGTGCAGGGTCTATATAACAATGTTTTCAGTAGTTAAAAATTCCAACACCTTTGCAAGTGCCAGAAGGGTTCAGTAATCTGATTAGCCTGCATGTTTGGTGGGGTGTTAGCTGTGTGGATAAAAAGCTTCCATCCCCAGCCATGTTTTAATTGCTTGGAACAGGCCTTGCAGAATGCGCTTTCTGTTTCCCAACCTTCCAATGGTAACAAGCAATTTTTAATGAATTGCGCTGGCTAACGTGAGAAAGGTCTCTTGATGGGAAATATCCTGCCTTTTGCCATCAGTAAAACATCTTGTTTCTGTTCCAGATCGCGGATAAAGATATTAAATGTGCATTTTGGAACTACTCAGCAGACACAATGAATGGCAACTGGGCTACAGAAGGCTGCGAGCTGACACATTCCAACTCCACTCATATCTCATGCAAATGTAATCATCTGACTCATTTTGCTGTTTTGATGTCCTCAGGTGGCTCTGTTGTAAGTGCTATTTTAATTTAGTGTTTTAGCTGATACTTTCTCCTGTCTTCATTCCTAATGTTTTTATTTCAGTGCGATTTATGTACTTTTCCCCCTCTAAGTTTTCTCATTTTTGTTCAGCAAACACCCAATTTATTGTGCACAGGGCAAACAAAATTCCTCCCATATGTGTTTGAATTTCCTTATGTCCTTTCTGCAGTGATTACAGAGCAGTGATGCAGCAAAGTATCTTGTTCCAAGTACACAGTCTGTTGTGCTTATTTTTGGTGCACTGCTTTTAATTTTAAATCCCACTTTAAGACTGGTGTGGGATTTAACTGGCATTCATTGGTGGTCAGTAACCATATGGCCCAGAATTTCTCTCTGACAAAACTTTGCCACCCGTTTGTCTAACCTTGGCATCTAAAAATCTGCTTTAAATTCTCTCCTGAGGGTTTGCAACAGCACAATCAATTTGAAGTTTATGACTATTAAACATGGACGTTCGTGACCATCACAAAATCCTGAGAATGACCGCTCAATTTATGTCACTTTTCTATTAAGAGGCAGCATAGATTTCCAGGGTCTACGTGAGGATCTGCAGCAGCTCAGGTCCTGCCTCAGGAGGCAGCTTTATAAGGTATCAGAACTGACAGCAAGCAGAATATTAGCATGAATATACTGTATTGAGACAGTTCTCTCAAACTGTGAATTTCATGCTGATAGAGGCTGTTTCCTGGTTGCTAAATAGCATCCTAAGTCTTCAGTTCGGATATAAAACCTTTTCAGGTACTTATATAGTTATTTTGAAAAGGAAGGCTGGGAGGAGAATAATCTCTGGTCTTTTATTTAGAAAAAAGATACTTAGATATGTTTTATGGTCAGCTGAATACTATCCTTATGCTGATGCGCAGTCATGGATTTCAGAGATTCTTTGTGCAAATATCAAGCAGCAAATGTAACCCTGCTCCTACACAGAAAATATTCACATCCAATATTAAAATAGCCCGTGTTTCTTTGGAGAATGTTCATGTTACGTAGCTGGAATAGCATTTGTTTGAAGTGATTGTTATTTCGGTCTTGTTTTGATCATGTTGCAAATTCAGGAAGACTGTTCTTCAGTTCTGCTTATCTAAGTCACTGCTGTGATAAATCCTTTTATATTAGAAAATGTTCATGTCATATTAATATATGTCCTGCTGCCAGTGTATGTGTCATTCACTAAAATTATCTGATTTTTAAAAGCATATTAGGAGATACTGTCGTTAATAAAAAGGTTTTTTAAGAAATATCAGAAAATGCAATAATGTATGCAGTTCATTACTAATTTCCCCTAGAATTATATCTGCCTCACCAAAAAAAACAATACTTTTTAGATTATCCAAAGTGTACATTTGCAGTGAAAACTCTACAAACAGTTTTGATTAATATTTTGAAGAAAAGAACTGTATTATAGAACGAGGTCTTTCTTTAGAAGGTACAAAGCTATTCTTCTAAATATTATATTATAATTTTCCCCCAGGGTGTTACAAATTATAACATCCTTACAAGAATCACTCAGCTAGGAATAATTATTTCGTTGATTTGCCTCTCCATGTGCGTTTTTACATTCTGGTTCTTCAGTGAAATTCAAAGCACTAGAACAACAATTCACAAAAACCTCTGCTGCAGCCTTTTCCTGGCGGAACTTATTTTTCTGATTGGAATTAATATGAACAATAATAAGGTGGGTATTTTTCACTAGTACCTTTATTTTGCTTTGTAAACTAAATATATAGTATAAGATAAGATCTTCCATTTACTTCCAGTATTTCCGAGTATCAGTATGAATACTCTAGTGACACTGGTTTCCGGTCTAGTAACAGGAAATATAAAATGGTCATGTAAAGAAGTAGGGTCTTCATCTGAGCTGGTGCATATTGACTTTGCTCCAGGGGGTTCATTTAAACTTTGTCACCAAGACCGGTCTCAGTGTGTTTAGCATTTTCACTTTTCATTTCCATTTGGGTGCTGTACAAAGCCACATTGGTGGCTCTGGGCGATGATTTTCCCTAAAAGCCAGGCCAGAGCTGCGGTCCCAAGCTGGCATTTAAGATACTGCGCTCTTGGCTGGAGGACCCCTTGTCCTTCTACATGTGAGGTCTTGACCTGTCCCGGTTGCTTTTCATACAAGTTGGGCTGTTGATTCTTGCATCTCAGATTAGTTTTAGGAAATTAAATTATGCATAAATTATAAAAAACCCTACTATAAATAGCTGAATAGGATTTAAAATTGCTTGAAAAAATATGAACTGTGATCGCTGAGGTAGCAGTCCAGCATCGATTGATTGAGAAAAAACATTTTACAAACACTTTGTAGTAAAAAAAAAGGAATTTCAGAAATAACTCCTTGTGATGCCTAATTACATCTCTTTCAAAATCATAAAAATAAACTTTGTCTAGATCAGGAAAGCATACAGACTACTCAGCTGTAACTATGAGATTAATCTTGTCAATTTGTTTATGCAGTTTTTCTGGGAAGATGTGCACCAATTTTAAAAGTTGAACGTAGTCCCCTTATTTTACCATTTGCTACAGAAAACACTAATGAACAAGCGTGCTCGTGGGTATAGGCCAAGTTCTTGCCAATCAGCATTACACCTGGGCTGCTGAACCACCACTTTAGAGTCACTAGGTTGCTGTGCATATGCTGTTACTGTAAACAGAGGCATTTTAATAGAATTATGACTCTTGCTTTCTCTGATTTTCTAGCTCTTCTGTTCAATTACTGCTGGATTACTCCATTATTTCCTTCTAGCTGCTTTTGCATGGATGTGCATTGAAGGTATTCACCTCTACCTTATAGTTGTGGGAGTCATCTACAACAAGGGTTTCTTGCACAAGAATTTCTATGTCTTTGGCTACGTCAGTCCAGCCGTGGTTGTTGGAATCTCTGCTGCACTGGGATACAAATACTATGGCACCACAGAAGTGTAAGTCACTGTTTCTATGTCCAAGTCAACATATATAAGAATGCAATAGTCACAATTGCACATTTCAAGGCATTTTCTGCTGTTTACTTTTCAGATGTTGGCTCAGCACAAAGAATAACTTTATATGGAGTTTTATAGGACCAGCATGTCTCATAATTCTTGTAAGTATAATTTTCATTTTTTATTGTAGTACATAAAATTGATAATAAAAGGTGTTCAATAATCACCCACCCATTGCCAGCATAGCTGTGAGTGCTAATTATAGGGCAGAATTGGCTAATTTAGAGCTTTTTATAGTGTCTCTAAATTATTTATATGCTGTACATCTAAATACTTTACTAGCCTGAAAAATGGATGTTTGACCAAAAAAAAAAATCAATATAAGATTTTTTTTCTTACTTGTTTTCTTTCTTTTAACCCATTGCTTTGAGAAATTCTGTGAGCCGTTTCTGGTTTTTAAGAGATAGAATCTTTGTACGTCTTTGGCATCAGCATGGCTCAGCAGAAGGTGTACACAGACACTAGCCTAGCAGACAGATAATCTGGTTTTTCGAATGTTGTATGACTTAATCTCTTATCAGTGATCGGTCATCTTTGTAAGATTAGACTGTCATCTTTATGGTTTTATCACTGGCGTGTACCCTGTCATCATCAAAGCTATTTTAAACCAAATTGCGACGTCAGAGAAAAGAACCCGCTATTTCACATGGGCAGACAAGGCAAGTATTGATAGCCCTATTTCAGCTGTGAAGAGGGCCTCTTTAATTCTTATTGGAAGTGGTTTCAAACCTGCAAATTTGGCAGGTATTATATGTTCCACTCTGAATCGAGACACTTTTGGTGCCTCAGGAGCATTTCTAAGTGCTGTAAAGTTTAACAAACGATTCCAACTGTAATGGGGCATTATTGTGTATGACTGGGTTGACAGTGAACTGGCAATAGCTGGAGCTAACAGGAGGAGAAGGTACTATGGTGAGGCCTCATGACATCTATGGTTACATCAGTTATAACCCTTCGTTGCTTTTTAAGCTACATGGTGATAAATGTGAGGATTTGTAAAAAGGAGCAAGTAGCAGTGCCTAAGACACACAAGGTGATAGTAAAACAGTTTTATTTTAATGTATTATCCATTTCAAAGTATCAGGTATAATTCTGGCCAAATTCCACCCCAAATTCCTCCTGTAGATTGGGGATAGGCTGGAAGTAACCTGCCAGATGCAACTGCAGGGTGATGCCTCCCCATCTCACCCTCCTGGTGAGCACAGCAGACTTCGAGAGAGGCAAGGCACCACAACCCCCTTGGCTCAGTGCTTCTGGAGTCAGATGGCCCTGACAGCTGACAGGTTACTACGGTGAAACAAAATCGTGGGACGTGACCGTCCTTTACTAGGAAATTCTTACAATTCTTAGGTTTAGGTTGATGATTTCCTGTTTCCTCTTTGGACCTTATCTCTTTCTTCCATGAAGGCAAGAGAGTTGGGATTTTTTTGTTGTTGCTCTCATTCCTGTTCCTCATCTGCCTTCAGGTGACGATTAATGGGCAGTGATGTATCACTGCACAGTTAGCACAGGAAAACTGCATTATCAAAATGTACAAAATCCCCCAAATTTATGCATCTGTAACCTTGGTTTTACCTCCAGCTGGGCTGTGCCTGATGCAGGATCTTGGGTCCGCAGTGCACAGGCAGAGCAGGTCTGCGGTGGCTTTCATTTAAGTCTAGCTGGCTGCAGAGGCAAATACTGCAGGCTGGGCTCACGGGCTCATAGCTCTTCTTGGAGAACTCCAGATCTCCCAGCAACCCCTGTGAATTACTAGAAGAAGGAGCGGTGAGGTTGGTACAGGCTGTATGCACCAAGGCAGTCCTCCTATTTTTTCTCCCACTCCTTTGCCTAAGTGAAGCCACACAAAGGAGCTGTAGCTGGGCAGCAATTAGCCCTGTGGTTGTTTTGGTGTTTTTTGTCTGTTATGGAGGTATTTTGTGGTAACTTGTTTTCACGTTATTCATATACTTTCATTATTGTCTCTTTGTAATCGTGCACTACCTGGGAGGAAAGGCAACACACTTTCAGCAAGCTGCTTCATCTGCTGTGTGATTTTTTTTTTTTTTTTGAGCATTTGTTTTGACAGGATGATAGCAAATTGAAGCCTAAACTGCAAGAGGGATGTTTTCAAAGAGTGCAGTGAGCTAGGTAACTTTCTCACGCTCTATCCAGGTTATTGTCTAAGGAAAATATGGAAAACCTTATGAAAATAGCCACTGACTCTAGAAGATGAAGTTGGTGTTAGATGTCTTCTCTGTTAAAGGCGTGCTGCTGGTGATTCTGTTTCCATTGTC